CACGTTTCAGATGAAAAAACGTGACTTCTATTTCTGAAAATATCACAGTTAGGAGATTTATAAGGAGTGGTTCCCTGCATTATTACAGTGCGTGATTACAGTACTAAGCCGCTGCAATGGAGCAGCTCTAATGCTTTTAAATTACAGATGATGTACTATAGAGCACAAAAATTAAAAGTGAAAGTAACAAAAACTTGTAAAATACATTTTAATGGGCAATTTAAGTGTGAAAATAACCGAAGGATATACAGCGGAGAAAGCAAACATTATGCTAGACAATAAGAGCCTTCAATGGCATACAAATTAAATATTATTCACATTTTAATCTGTTCACAAGCACAGGTTTGACTTTCCCTTATATTATCTTTTAACTTGTTGTCCTTTACTTTAACATGTAATTATTGACAGTAAACTAAACACAAATACATGCACACAAGGAAAACAGGCCATCACAGTATCAAGTTTTTAGTGTTATTTATATATAGTATTTATTCATATTTTGTTTAGTAATTTTTATAATGTGCTTTTGCCATTTTTTTTGTTTTAAGTTTTCATATTTTTACTTAGCTTCAAAAAATGTTTTCAATTTTTGTATTTTAAATTCACTTTATTTTTATTTAGTTTAATTTCTAATTTTCTATACATAAATAAATATTTTTTCCAGTTTTTTGGGATTTTTAGTAGTTTAGTTTTAGTTAACAGATCTTATCATTTTATATTTTATTATTATTATTTTATGTTTGTCTTTTTTATGTAATTTTATTATAATTGACATTTTACTGTAAAATAAGTTATCATTTCAAGCAGAAAGTCAACATCCGCCATTACATATATTTTTTGACACTTGATCCCATCAGTAAATCTCAAAGAGAAATAATGCTGTAATGAGAGAAAATAGGACTCACGCTGTTTTCTTCTGACCTGAGCCATCCTTTCTTTTAAACACGGTTGAGGCGATGAGTCCTTTGAAGTCTGTAATTGGAAACAGTTGATGGAGTTAAGTGGAATAACGGATCCCAGATCCGTTTCTCCAGCCATATCTCCCTCCACCCGTAAAACCGGGCCTCTTAACTTTGACCTTGGTGTAGTCCAGGTTAGGCAGTAAGCCCAGAAACAGACAGTCAGAATGATGCATGATGGGAACATTCAGTGAAGCCTCAAGATGAAAACTAAATTAGACTAATATAGGCTAATAATAAAGACAAAAGGAAAACTACCTAAGGAATTTAACAGAAATGACAACAAATTGGAAATGTTTCTCTCTGAACAGAAAATACAAAGTGGCAGAACACCTGATTAATGTTACCAGCTCTTTGAAAACTAGGAAACTATAATAGGAACAGACTATGTACAGACTCAGCAAACATAACCTTTCAGTAGTGACAGGCAAACACAGACAGACCTAAGCTGTGTTTCCCAAAAGCATCGTAACCAATTTTTTCTACAATCTACTTACAATACTTTCAGGAAAGGTAGCCCTGGATATTGTTGCACCAGAAAGGACAGGCTGTGCTCTTTCTACATAGACAATGAGGTAAAAACGTGTAAACCTCATTAGATAACAAAATATCGAACCAAATGGCTCCTACAAACCAATAAAACCAGACTTTATCTGGTTCCAATAAGGTTTTAGTAGATTTAGACATTTTGTATTCTTTTTTGGGCAAATTATACCTTTAAGTGTAGCTTTTGAGGCCACCATGTCTATTATTCATCCTTATGGCCATTTAACCTTCGGCGTTTGATGTATCAGTGGGATATGTATTATGAATGATATGATGCACTATGCAGTGAGACCAGACAAAGGAGACATACTGCTTACAGAGAGAGTGAACTTCAAAGCAGTGAGGAATCAAAGTTGGAGAAGAAAAATCTGGAAAGCTGGAGGGATTTCTGGATAAAACCCAAGAGGTGTAGTTCTTCTCCTTTACCTCTCTCTCACTCTCTCTTTCTCTCATTTTCTGCCCTGTTTTGGGTGGGCCTAATGGGGTCAAATGAAAGGGGCTGTCCTGAACAGGATTGATAGGAACAGCTAAGGAGAGGTTGGTATGAACCTATGAGAACTGATACAGACTGTTGTGGCTCTAATACACTCTTAAAATTATAGGTGTTTTAAAGGTTCTTCACAGCGATGCCATGGAAGAACCATTTTTGGTTCCATAGTGTCTAGATCTTCCTGTTTACACTGTGTGATGAAACGGTAACCGTTCAAAGCCAAACTATCTTTATAAGATATCAAAGCATATTTCTCATCTCTCGTCTCTTCACAATAATCTGTTCCCAACATCTGCACTTTGATGTGTTTTATGCATGCTGGTCTATCTGTATCACAGATAAATGGCTTTTCAAACTGGAAAATAAAATGAAAATAACAGAAATAAAATTCAATATGCTTGTTAGTTCCCAAGAATTGGAGAAAGCAAACATTATGCTAGACAATAAGAGCCTTCAATGGCATACAAATTAAATATTATTCACATTTTAGTCTGTTCACAAGCACAAGTTTGACTTTCCCTTATATTATCTTTTAACTAGTTGTCCTTTACTTTAACATGTAATTATTGACAGTAAACTAAACACAAATACATGCACACAAGGAAGTTTTTAGTGTTATTTATATATAGTATTTATTCATATTTTGTTTAGTAATTTTTATAATGTGCTTTTGCCATTTTTTTAGTTTTAAGTTTTCATATTTTTACTTAGCTTCAAAAAATGTTTTAAATTTTTGTATTTTAAATTCACTTTATTTTTATTTAGTTTAATTTCTAATTTTCTATATATAAATAAATATTTTTTCCAGTTTTTTGGGATTTTTAGTAGTTTAGTTTTAGTTAACAGATCTTATCATTTTATATTTTATTATTATTATTTTATGTTTGTCTTTTTTATGTAATTTTATTCTAATTGACATTTTACTGTAAAATAAGTTATCATTTCAAGCAGAAAGTCAACATCCGCCATTACATATATTTTTTGACACTTGATCCCATCAGTAAATCTCAAAGAGAAATAATGCTGTAATGAGAGAAAATAGGACTCACGCTGTTTTCTTCTGACCTGAGCCATCCTTTCTTTTAAACACGGTTGAGGCGATGAGTCCTTTGAAGTCTGTAATTGGAAACAGTTGATGGAGTTAAGTGGAATAACGGATCCCAGATCCGTTTCTCCAGCCATATCTCCCTCCACCCGTAAAACCGGGCCTCTTAACTTTGACCTTGGTGTAGTCCAGGTTAGGCAGTAAGCCCAGAAACAGACAGTCAGAATGATGCATGATGGGAACATTCAGTGAAGCCTCAAGATGAAAACTAAATTAGACTAATATAGGCTAATAATAAAGACAAAAGGAAAACTACCTAAGGAATTTAACAGAAATGACAACAAATTGGAAATGTTTCTCTCTGAACAGAAAATACAAAGTGGCAGAACACCTGATTAATGTTACCAGCTCTTTGAAAACTAGGAAACTATAATAGGAACAGACTATGTACAGACTCAGCAAACATAACCTTTCAGTAGTGACAGGCAAACACAGACAGACCTAAGCTGTGTTTCCCAAAAGCATCGTAACCAATTTTTTCTACAATCTACTTACAATACTTTCAGGAAAGGTAGCCCTGGATATTGTTGCACCAGAAAGGACAGGCTGTGCTCTTTCTACATAGACAATGAGGTAAAAACGTGTAAACCTCATTAGATAACAAAATATCGAACCAAATGGCTCCTACAAACCAATAAAACCAGACTTTATCTGGTTCCAATAAGGTTTTAGTAGATTTAGACATTTTGTATTCTTTTTTGGGCAAATTATACCTTTAAGTGTAGCTTTTGAGGCCACCATGTCTATTATTCATCCTTATGGCCATTTAACCTTCGGCGTTTGATGTATCAGTGGGATATGTATTATGAATGATATGATGCACTATGCAGTGAGACCAGACAAAGGAGACATACTGCTTACAGAGAGAGTGAACTTCAAAGCAGTGAGGAATCAAAGTTGGAGAAGAAAAATCTGGAAAGCTGGAGGGATTTCTGGATAAAACCCAAGAGGTGTAGTTCTTCTCCTTTACCTCTCTCTCACTCTCTCTTTCTCTCATTTTCTGCCCTGTTTTGGGTGGGCCTAATGGGGTCAAATGAAAGGGGCTGTCCTGAACAGGATTGATAGGAACAGCTAAGGAGAGGTTGGTATGAACCTATGAGAACTGATACAGACTGTTGTGGCTCTAATACACTCTTAAAATTATAGGTGTTTTAAAGGTTCTTCACAGCGATGCCATGGAAGAACCATTTTTGGTTCCACAAAGAACCATCTGTTTCTTACTTTTTTATAATCTGAAGAACCTTCTTTCGCCATAAACAACCTTTTGTAAAACAGAAAGGTTCTTTATGGAACCATTTAGACAAAAAAAAGTTCTTATATGGCATCGTGAAGCACCTTTATTTTTAAGAGTGTATGGAAATTCATACACAGTGTTTGAGAAAATATTTACCTGCAGGAAAATTAGTATAAATTTGCTAGAATTGGTTAAAAGTTTCAGACAGTTGTGTAACATTCAAGTGCCTGACAACACACACTCTCAAGCCCACATCACCTACATGCACCCACATGCAAGAATCAAAGGTATTTGTTTCAAAGGAAGAGACATAAAAAGAGAGAAAGGAACTTTATGCACATCATAGCATTTTTTCTTGCAAATTTAATGTCTTTCTTTCCGAAGCACAGAAATGTCAGGCCCCTATATTCTTTTGTCCACACATAAATCAAGAAAGCTTATTTCCACAATACACCAATCATGTTGTACAGATAATAAAAGGCAACAACCTCAGAAACATTGGCAATTTTCAGGAAGAGCAACATTAGAGCACAGAAACATGTTCAGGTTTTTCTCACACAGATTGAATTTTACGGTCACATGGTTCACGTTTACTCAACAGATGCAGAGAAAGGTCTACATGATCATTATAAAAGTGTTCATTTCATTGTGAGGCTGTGTTCCTGGTCTGATCTTTGCAGATCATAGCTTCAGTAGGTTGGAGACTGATTGTTTCAGAGCTCTACAAAAATCATAGATCAAAGGAATCAGAGCAGCTGCGCATCAGATGACACATGTGCATTCACTTCATTTATTGCAGTCCTGCCATACAGGTGTTTTTATGCAGATTTTTCACTAGCCATTCTTTCTTACATTTGTTATTAATTTGTCCTCAAGTTTTATGAATTTGAGTGGGAAAAAAACAGGACTGTGTAGTGAGTAATTGCAAATGCAATATTTCAAAACACTTCTATCAATAGCCTACAGAATGTTGGCATGCTGTTTCGTGTTTAGCTTTTAGTGTTTATGTAGGCTATTTGATTGTTACATTATATGAATTTATTTAAAATGGAAGTTAAAATGAAGTAATTCAGTAGCAATATAGCTTAAAGGGATAGTTCACCCAAAAATGAAAATTCTGTCATTAATTACTCATCCTCATGCCGTTTCAAACATGCAAGACCTTTGTTCATCTTCATCAACAGCACCACACGCATACGCTGCAGTACTCTCATAAAAACTGTGTTGAATACTGACACAGTTAAGAAGAAATTGTTGAATGAAGTTGTTATTTTTGTTGTCTTTGCGCACAAAAAGTATTCTCGTAGCTTCATAAAATTACAGTTGAACCACTACCTTTCTGGGCCTTGAACATGTCAGTTGCTTTGCTGGCAGGGTCAGAAAGCTCTCAGATTTCATCAAAAATATCTTAATCTGTGTTGTAAATGAATGAAGGTCATACAGGTTTAGAATGACATGAGGGTAAGTAATAACAGAATTAAAATTTTTGGGGGGTTAACTAACAAAAATTGTTTGAAAGAATTAATAAATAGTGCAAAAAAATACACTTGAAACAGTTAACCCTGGGTCATTCTAAACTGTGCCAGTGATTGGAGAATCCAGCATGTGTTTACATAACGGCTAGCCTTGCGCATCAAAACCGTACTATCAAGATTTTCCTGAATGGACTTTTCAGTGGACTATAAAGCTAAGACAACTCCAATTTACACGTTTTCCGTCACCATTTGACATTTTCCCCCTCAAATGCTGAAAACACTGTTCATACAAAGTGCTGTGTTTCTGTGACTTTCCTAAGCACGTGAATATGAGGCTCGCGATTGACTGTATGTTAGCAACAACAATCTTAACACCGCAAACTTAAAAATTGCAAGAAATAGTCCGAATAGTGAGATTAAAGGCTGCAATTACCTCTTTTAACAACCTTCCAGTAGGCCTAACTTACCTTTACCTGCGGGGTTAAATTTAGAACGACTATAACCTAGGCTTATGCACAGTGTGAAAAGCCCTAAACACTGCACATTTCTGCTGTTAAAACTTCCAGAACATTGCCTCATAAACTTCCAATGCAAATCTGTACACACCATTTTGGATGTTTTTACAAGTCAAAATTACTGCTTTGTAAGAAATGTACATTCTGTAAATTGCATAAATACCTGACTATATTAGTATAACTTAACTTGTAACTGTAGCATTCATTTTAATAGAAAACATCAATCTGAAATATGAGATAAACAGACACATGATACTTTTACTTATTTATTTTTTTAATAGATAGATATATTTACCTGTGGGATATAATTACATTTTCAATCATTTTTTTCCAGTATTTTGTCTAAACCCTGAAATCTTCACAGGTGTCTTCGTCCAGTAAAAGTAGTGGTGTTAAAGGTTAAAATGGATTTGGCATTCCTTTGTTTTTTTCAGCCCCTGCAGCAGGGGTACAGAAGGGTACAGAGAGTGTGGGGCTGGAGGCGGGATGTCCTACTTTAGGAGGGAATGTGAATTTTCAAAGACTAGTGGCCCCTTCCTCAGAATTCACCACATGCTTTCATTCTTTCTGCTTGTTCACCCGGTCTGTTTTATCCCATGCAAATGAGCACACAAACTCACAGATTGCAGGGAAACCTCAGGATAATTGTGCTAGGAATAACTTCTTTCTTAAGACACAAGCAAATATGTGAAATATGAGATTTTCTACTGTTCCTTTTTTGCATAGGCCTACTTCACATATGTATTTTCCAGATGAAGACACGTTTGTAAAAAAAATTACTTGATAAATATGCCTGGCCAAAGGAAGTGTAAGAAAATCTCATTCCCCTAACTTTGTCTTTTCGTCCTCCTCTTTCCCTCCCTCTCTTCTCATTCCCTCCCTCCCTCTCTCAGAGTAACCATGTGCTTTTCGTGTCAGTAGACACATTTAACCCTCTCCTCAGAGTAACCGATGCATAGACAGCTGTCTCTTTTTCTCTTTCTTTTTCTTTGGCTTCTTCTCCTCTCATTTCTCCTTTTCTAGTGTTCTTTATGTGTTTTTTCTGCAGCTTTTGTCCTCTTTATGGCTCTGGAAACTCTCCTGTAGAGGAATTTATGTAACTGCAACAGGACAGAGACACCTTAAGCGCATACATGCTGGAGGAAGCCACAGCATAAGCACCTCCAACGGGAACAACTTCAAAAGTCTGAGGATTGCTGGGAGAGAAGAAGAAGGACAGTCAGGCTGAAAAAGCGGGACCATGCCGGGCTGTCAGATCCGGACTGGGTTTGTGCCGGTTCTGCTGGTCTGTTTCTTTCTGCTGTTGGCATCTGGTTCAGGGAATGCACGCATGATCAGGAAGAGGGGACTCAACCAGAAGGTAAGGATTCAATGCGCGTGTGTGTGTGCGTGAGTGTCCGTGTGCGTGTGTGTATGTGTGCGTAAGTGTGAGTGTGTGTGTGTGCGTGTTGGATACCAGAGGCCTCTTAGGCTCAGCAAGGCTGCATTTATTTGATCAAAAATAAAGTACAATAGTAATAGTGAAATATTTTTACAATTTAAAATAACAAATTTTTTCAGCAATTTTCATCATAATTTCTCCAGTCTTCAGTGTCACATGATTCTTCTGAAATCATTTTAATATGCTGATTTGCTGCTCAAGAAACTGTCTGGTTTTGCTGCTTAAAAATGTTGATGAAACTATGATATACTTTTCTTTAGGATTCATTAATGAATAGAAAGTTCAAAATAACAGCATTTATTTAAAATATAAATCTTTTTTACTACAATTTATCAATTGATCAATTTAATGCATGGTTGTTATATATACGTATTAATTTATATTTAAAAAAAACATTGAATTGTAGTGTTTAGTATTATTTTTGAATTATATACTACTATGGTAGCATGTCATGCCATATTCATGTACTATAATATTTTGATCATGGTACTTCAAAGAATACCACTGCATTACCATGATGCCATTTCACATGTTTTTTTTTTTTAATATACATGTTCAAGATTTTATTTACAGATTACCATAAACTGCAAATATGCTATAAAAAGAATGTAGCATGCAGATATGCACTGTAATATGACATCTGATGTACACTTGAGCAGGAAAATGGTCATACCATGGCACTCTTTGTTGTTAGTGAAGGCAGTGTTGGCAGAGGTTGGCATCTGTGAGCCTTTAAGAGTTTTTAGGTCCATTATACAGTGAAAAAAAAACGTAATGAATACACTGTGTCTCTGTGACTCCAGTGGAGTTGCTGTGGTTACGGTTGAATACTCAAATGTATGTAGTGTGTGTGTGCGTGTGTGTGCAACAGAGGCAGAGGGATTTCAGGCGGGACGTTTCTGGGCCTCTGCTCATTAGTCCTGATAAGCATAGGTTTGATTGATAACAATTAACAAGGGATGGCCAGATGGAATTTGCACCGGATGGATATCCCTTCCCAACTGACTGAATTCCAGCGTCATTCTGATTACTGCTCTACTGCGGAATTCGAGATTTACAAGATTTACAAACAAATCCATTCACATGTCACAGGAAATGGACCGTGCCCAAAGTAACCTCTCTGTTACATTATCATACGTACATCTTTCTGGTTTTGTCCTTAAAAGTCCTTTCATACTCATTTTCAATTGATTCATTTTATCTTTCCGTTTGACATTATGCCAAGTAACATCTGCTTCCTTCCCTAGTTGTCCTTTCTTTTTCACTCTCTCTTTCTGCAGAATCATTGGTGTGAACTGATGATGCATGGATAGACACACAGTACATTGCTGTTATAGCAATAAATCATAATTAGGTTGAGGGTAATTGAGATCATTCCACTGATGTGACCTCTCTAAGAAAAACAGCAATAACAGGGGTCAGAGAAGTAGGTGAGCTGTGCCTCACTTTCAGGGTTTTGTAACAGTATTGTTGTGGGAGAGAGAAAGTGGGTTTGAGCCAGCATTCTGCTGAGCTGGATTTTCTGGGTGGGCCTGAAGCGGTCCAAAAGCCATCCCGGTCCAACTGGCTCCCAGCTCACTCACTCGTGATTGCGAACCAAGGACTGTTTATCCTTTCAAAGCATTTGTGTTTGGTAAAAATGCTTGTGGCTGAGCATTTCAGGCTTTCATGAATACCTCAGAATCACAGTGTAATCAATCCATGAGGGTTTGCGTTGCTAAAGTACAAAGGTATGGTTAAAAAGCTAAATATTGCTCATTGATCTTTGTAAAGATAGTCGTCACAAAATGCTTTTTTTCTGCAGAACAAGTAAAGGCATGTGAGGGGTCATCTCAGCTCGGCTGTACCCTCACAGCCCCATCAATCTCTGAGCACAGTGATGACTAACAGGCCAAGGGAGAACGCTTTAAAAGCTGACAGAGATGATGACAGATGTTTTAGAGCTACTTGTCAACAACCTCGTGAGGTGATGTGAAGTGTCTGTCACCCTCTTTCTGGTTTTATTTGCTCATAGACTGCAGTGTATGCTTTCATGGCAGGTTATTTCAATTTGCATAGTGTTCATGTTTTGAACCATAAAGAACTTTTGTAAGATATTAAACATTAACTTGCAGCTTAAATGATTCAGTTAACGGCCTGGAACTTATGAGAAATATCTCATCATTCTGTGTTAATAACAATCTAAATTATGGTGACATTAAATAGTACAAAAATGCATTGAATGTCTAACATAAATAGAACATATAAGAATAGCCCACATTTTTTCAAGAAATGCATTACAGTTTAAAAGTTAGGTTTTTAAAAATATATCAAAAAAGAAAACTGTTATTTTAAATTAAAATAATATTTCACAAACAAATAAATGCTGCCTTGGTGAACAAGCGACTTCTTTCAAAAACATAAAATGATTTGAATGATAATAAATAACTAATACCACTGCAAAACCAATCAATCAACCAATGATTGATTGAATGAAAAGTACAAACCACAATTGTGTTTATAACATGAACATCACAGCAGCATTAACTATTTTGTTACGAAAAGACACAGAGATTTTAAATGAATCTGTGAATCGTTTATTTGATCAACAAATTGTTTATTTAAATGAACCATACAAACTGATTCACTAAAATTATTCAAACCTACTTATGGGACAGACAGGGCGGATGGGGAGAGTTCAACTCAGGTATGATAAAATATGACCAAAAGTACAATTTGTCACCAAAAGTTGCAGTATAAGTTATTAGGGAAGCATTTGACTGTTGTGGTGTTTCAACCCTAGCTAATTTCCAACATGAGATCAGGCTAAAGCAGTTGAAATTTAAAGCAGTCATGTGTTCTGTTGCAGAGAGAGTTCAACAGTAATCCCAGTCAGCTGAGGAGAACATGTTTAAGCACACCTAGATATAGTAGAAAAACATTGCTTTTGTAATGTTTAGATAAAATACTTGAACATTTCATTAAGGATTATTTCTAAAGTCTACCTATGGTATGTTCGAAAAATCTAAAATCTACACCTATCCGATTGACACTACATGATGCATATTACAATTAATTTAAGGGGAAGGAAAGTAATGTTTCTAACAAGTACATGGCAACTAACCTCATGGAATGTCAATATTAAGGTAGTCCAAAACAAAGGGTCTGCTACACTTCCTCAAAGCCTTTAGGGATTACCGTAATTTATCAGGGTTTATCAGGAAAAGAGGTGAAACACTGAAACGAGTGACCTTCACCCTGCCCCTCATCAAGCTTTCTGTTCCCATCTTCAGATCTGTCAATCATCTACAGGCCCTGTCCTACATACTCCACTCAGTTCAGACTGAGCCAAGCCACCAAAGCACCTAAGAAGCTGTAAAATACCCAGAACTCGGCAGGAAATGAACGTGCAGACGTCTAGACTTAAATCACAGCTCACTGGTGGAATTTGGAGAGAGAAAGGAAAGGGGGCTATTTAGTTTTCCTCTCGTAATTATCTTAATGATTGCTTGGAAGACCACACTACAGAGTGCTAAGTATGTCAACATGTATTTAGTTCAAATCTTATTGTCCATACTAATAGGCGCCTCAAGTCAGTGAACCTGAAGGATGTAGAGCAGTAACAGGGTGGAGCATTTAAATGGGAAATTAAGGATATTTTGTGGCTCCTCGGAGGGTGAGGGAGTGTAATTTTGCAGTGCATAACCCAGGCTGCTCTTAGTTAAATGTTCAGACATTTTTCACCAAACATGAAAGAAAAAAATTTGTCAAATCTAGTATATTTTGGGTCCACACTCTGTATAGATCTCTTTTACAATATGTTGCTTACATGTGTGTTAAAAAACACAGTAAAAGCAGCATCAAACAAAGTTCCTGTGCTGTAGCCGGATCAAATCAGAGGACTGGAACAAACTGTTATATAAGCTACTGACATCTTCTATTCAGGAACAGAGGATCTAGGAGAGATAAGCAGAAAGTCATATACAGCGCAGCATCAGGGGACCTGTTCCAGACAGGAAGAGTACACTACCACTTCCTCTTTGCCTCATCCAGAGACACTTGGGAAAATATAATCTGTACGTTAGATAAGCAAAGGCAGACTGATTTTAACAGCCATACAACTGATATTTTTATTGTCAGCACTGGTAAAACAGCATGCTGAATTACTTTCATGTTGATGGCAGTCATAAATCATAAAATATTGATCTAAACTTCATGAGTTGCAGACCCAAGTCTGACAGGCCATTGCTGTTATGCAACAGATACGTTCATAAAGGTATCAAAGAAAGACAAGGTTTATATATGTGTGACCATGGACCACAAAACCAGTCATCAGGGTCCATTAAAATTATATCATATGAAAGCTGAGTGAATAAGCTTTCCATTGATGTATGGTTTGTTAGAATAGGACACTATTTGGCCGAGATACATCTGGAATCTGAGGGTGCAAGAAAATCGCCTTTAAAGTTATCCAAATGAAGTCCTTAGCAATGCATATTACTAATCAAAAATTAAGTTTTGATGTATTTATGGTAGGAAATTTACTTTACTTTATACCCTAATGATTTTTGGCATTGATCAAAAATCGATCATTTTGACCCATACAATGTATTGTTAGCTATTGCTACAAACGTACCCATGCTACTTATGACTGGTTTTGTGCTTCAGGATCACATATTGTATTTAATTGCACATAAACATTTATTTCATATACATTACTGTTTAAATGTTTGGGGTCAATAAGATTTTTTTGAAAGAAATTAATCCAGTTATTGATCAACACTGAGATTAAGACTTATATTACAAAAAAATATTTCTAATAAATGGCTAAATGCATTACTGTGAGTGTAAGCTGTTTTCGAAACTGATAATAATAAATGTTTCTCAAGCAGCAAATCGGCATATTACAGTGATTTCTGAAGGATCATGTGACATTATAGACTGGAGTAATGAAGCTTTTCCATTACAGAAATAAATTACATTTTAAAATATATTAAAATAGAAAACAGTTATTTTGAATTGTAATAATATTTCACAATATTACTGTTCTTTTCTGTATTTTTGATCAAATAAATGCAGCCTTTGTATCAGCAAAAGAGACGTTTAAAAAATCTTACTAACTTTTGGTAAGACTAGTAGTAACGTTTTAGCAGCGTAAATATTAAATGATAACTGTATTTAATTTTTCTTGTACTCTTTAAAAAGACAATAAAATTGAATCTAACCTAATTGCATAAACAACCACAATGGGCTTATGCCAGACATTTGCTTTTATTTTAACAGTTTGTTTGAAAGCAAAGCTCCAGACTTGCCAAGTGAACATGCTGAGTTTTTAAGATGCATGCAGTTCACAAACCCATAATTTAATTAGTAAACAAAATCACAGCCACATTTAGACTTGGGCCCTATAATAAAAGGCTCTGTGGAGAAGAATGAAGTACTGAATTCCAGCTGATGCGTGTCTGCATTCTAAACAGCTCTGGTCTGGAGTTTCAACAGCAGTTTAGTATACACTTGGCCAGGGTAGCAAGAGAACTGATGAGCTTAAGTAGTGTTGAACTGTAAAAAGAAGAGCAAGAGAAAGGAGGAGGTCTCTTAGAACAAAATGCACCCCTTAACAGTACCTCTGGTGCCAACTGAAACCTGGCTCAGGCAGATCTATGAGCCCATTGAAGAACCCATGGGAGGAAGAAAACTTTAGTAGAAAGGCCCAGACTTGGATGAAAAGCCTTTTTTTCTAACCCAGCATCTCTGTGAGAGGTATTATGTTCCTGAACAGTGTATCCGTTATATTAACAGTGCTAAATCAGAGAAAACAGTGTCACAGGCTTTTATAGATGCAAAATGTCATCAATAGGAACTGTATATCAGACAGATCTTCCAACTTGAAACCAATGTACTTGATTAGGCTGATAGTTTTGTACACGTTTTTTTTTTCCTTAGTGGAAGCTTTAAAATAATATACATACACACACCAGTGGACACATTTTGGAATAATTAAGATTTTTAAATGTTTTTTCTTATGCTTACCAAGGCTGCAATTTTTTTTATCAAAACACAGTAAGACAGTAATATTGTGAAATATTATTACAATTTATAATAAGTTTCTTCTGTTTGAATATATTTTAAAATTACATTTATTCCTGTGATGGCAAAGTTAAATTTTCAGCAGCCATTACGCCAGTCTTCAGGGTCACATGATCCTTCAGAAATCATTCTAATATGCTGATTTGGTGCTTAATTATTAATAACAGTTCTTATTATTATCAAAGTTGAAAACCATTTTTGCTAGAATGTTAAAGTGAAACCCATGATATGGATGAATAGGAAGTTAATTAAACAGCATTTATTTGATAATATATATATATATATTTTTTGTGTGTGTGTGTAACAATATAAATGTGTTTTCTGTCACTTTTGATCAATGTAATGCATCCTCGCTGAATAAAATTATAATAATAAAAAAAGCATTCTTACCCCAAACTATAGTATATCATGTGTTCCATAAATATATTAAGCAGCAAAACTGTTTTCAAATAATACATTTCTTGAGCACCAAATCAGCATATTAGAATGATTTCTGAAGCATTATGTGACACTGAAGACTGGAGTAATGATGCTGAAAATTCAGCTTTGCCATTAATAATTAACACTTTAAATGTATGTTCAGAAAGTAAGTTATTTTAAATTGTAATAATTTGTCACAATATTACTCTTTTTTTTCAAAAACATAAAAAAAATCATGATACTATTTCCTTACATATATTGTCTATCAATCTCTCAGGACTATGAGTACCCCAACCATCCTCAGACCGCTCAGCACCAGAAGAACGACCGCTGTCCTCCGCCACCGCAGATGCTGCCCGAGCGAGCCTGTGAGGTGCCGGGCTGCCGGTCCGATTCTGAGTGTGAGAGACACAAGCGGTGCTGTTACAACGGCTGCATCTACGCCTGCCTGGAGTCAGTGCAGCCTCCACCCGGTGAGAAAACACACCATGATCTGCTCCGAGATCAATATAAGCAACAGACACACGTATCCGCTTTAGCATTACTACAAGGCATAGTGCTAATGGATTTTAAAATGAATGGATCCTCTCATGAGGTGTGAGTTACTGAGCTGGATGTGTATACAGTGAATCATGAGTACATTTAGCCATACTGATTTTGTGTATTGATTTCTTATTGCTCAGTGCTGGACTGGTTGGTGCAGCCCAAGCCGCGGTGGTTAGGAGGGAACGGCTGGCTTTTAGATGGACCAGAAGAAGTTCTGCAGGGTGGGTATCGATTAATCAGTGATTGAATACTGACTCACCATTAAATGTTGTTTGGAGCAACATTAATAACCCTATAGACCTTAGTCACGGTAGATGCCATATTGGCTTTTCCACAAATGAAAACAAGGCTTTGAGGGATAGACTTACAGTATTTACAATGGTATGTGCTGTATAAAGGTCGTAGATCACATGGAACAGATTTCGAAGCTGTTTTCTGGAGTTTTGTGTACTGAAAGTCTTCAATACAGTTAATAGAATTGGTATGTTCCATCCATTGACCAGACTACTTCTATCCCTCACAGTGTTGTTTTCATTCAACATGGAGCTACCCCAACTACCCTGAGGCTCATTCATATCCACAAATCTATCAAAATTATTATACATTTAATCTCTGCAGTCAGCAGTCTAAATTAGCACTGAGGATGTATATAGTAGGTAGCATTGGCACGCTGACACTTCATGACAATGCTGATTGGCTGATGGCACCACAAGAAGGCGGACAGTCCCAGGCTCTTCATTAGCAACTATGCTGCCAGGTTTGCCTGGTTAGCATGTCTATTTGGCTCCTTCTTATAGAGGTTGGAACTTCACCTACATCTGGCAGCAAAATGCATCTTTCTTCATAGGAAGCAGGTTAAAAGTTGCCACATATTCTGACAAATCGCAAATATTTCATTATATTATAATGTATTAAAGTTTGCCAAACTGGGGTTTGTGAAATCCTGGTGGTTTGTGAGGGAACTGCAGGAGGTTTCATGAAAAGCAAATCATTACTTAAATCATAAAAATATAATGTATCATCAAAGAAAAATAGAAACAATCAAAATAAAACTATTTATATATATA